CCCTCCCCTCCCCCAGCTCAGGGCACTTACTGGTCCAAGTCCAGGGAAAGGATCCTTTTCATGCACCTGCACTTCTAATGCATGACTTTTGTGTTCCCGAGAGCTTTAGGCATTGTGGCTGCTGACTGTCATTATGTGACCTCCGCAGCCTTTGCGTAGAGAATGGTATGAGGAGAGCTGTTTCCATATTTTTTCTTTCTCTGAAGTTACCTTATTCTTGCCATTTATAATGGTCGAACTAAAAAGATGGGTATGTCGTTTCCTTGAAATATAAAGCTCAGACCCACATTAAAGTAGGTTCTGAGACGTGAAAGTGGGAGAAGCAGTAGTGAAACCAAGAGCCCTGTAACAGACACTCAAGTACAAATGTATTTTAGAGGCTTAAGGCGGAGGGCTGTGAACACGCTTCGCTCAGCTTCATTTTTACAATAATGTTTTCATTTCTCTTCGACCAATTAATTCAACTTGTAGGGAGCTATTTCATGAAAATAATCAGAAACAATAGTAATAGTTTATGTTTATCACCATGTTATTTTAAGCACTGGAAAATTAGGAACAGCCTAGATGGCTACCTTTATTCTTTCTCCCGTTTCTACAGTAGACCTGTCTGTGTCCTGAGAAAAATACTTGGATATGTTTTCTTAGCTGCCTTTTAAATGAATATTAGTATTAGTATTGTTTTATTACATTGTTACTATAACAAAATAGCATTTTAATCACATGTGACAGGATCCACCAAGAGTTCTAATAATTTCAAGTGACCACTAAACTGGATTTTTTCTTAATTGTTTTTGATCGATATATATTTTCAAGTGTCAATTATATTTCACCAATTCCTTTTTGTTAAATGTGTTTTTGGATAACTATTCTGTCTCTCACTTTTTTATTATTGTTCTGAACTCTCCAAATTTATATTTTATCTTTCTCTTAACATTTGTCCTTCACTTTTTCTTTTTAAATCGTATTTCCTTACAAAATAATTAAATTGTTTAAATGTCTCTCGCAGCTAAGATTTAATTTATCTACTTAGGTATCTTGAAATTCTGCCTTTTGTTATTTTTGCCTCATAGAGGCTTTTTCCATCAGCAGGAATGAAAGCAGTCAATAAAAATCAATTGCTGACACAATGACTGTATGGAGGTTTACCATAATGCGTATTGGAAATGTCTTTGAAACCCTTTTCCTGAATGGAAGGTGCCATGGCTGTGTTTTATGACCTTCTGATGTTAGACTGTAATCTCATTTAGCATTTTCCCAAAGTGAAAATATTGCATTAGGGCAGCATAACAAGCATTGCAGATCAATACGAGGCAGAGCTTTGCCCTTATAGATTAATCCAAGAAAAATGTACCAGAGTCTACTCCAGGAGCTGGGGAGCAGTTAGGTTGATTTCCAGCCCCTTCTCCCGTTCCCCCATGCAATCATCAATACAGGTTGAAATGTATACAAAAACAGTTTCAGATACCTGTGTGCACGCGTGTGTGCGTATACACACACACACACACATGCACATACACATGCACACACCCCTCGACTACTAGATAGGAAATCAAGGGCTCTGGGAGTGCGTAGTATTGATTTGTGGTGATAAAAGTATATTTTGACACGTTTCAAATCATAAGTAACTCATGGACTTTAACTTGCATGATTAGTAGCTCAACTCAGGGTAAATGCTTATATTCAACTTAAATGACCTCTTTCTAAGGAGTTTGTAGTATTAGCTGAACCCCATTGTGAACAGCCTTTTTAAAAGAAAAAAGAAGACCCTCTTCAGTATGTAGAAGTTCATTCTCCAGTCTTTTCCTCCATGTGATTTGGGAAGGGCCACACATCTGGCCAGGGTTCCTCTCATTCCCTCTCCCCAGCCTGCCTTAAAGCTAAGGTAACGTTGGACGTATGATGGCCCTCAACAGTAGGGTGGAATGTCACCTTGCTTTCTCCTGAACGGATATGGGCATTAGTCATGCATGTGCTAGGTTCGGCCGACCTCTGCTTGACCACATTTTATTCAGCATTTACCCAGATGTGCGTCTTGCTGAAATCAGTCAGCTAGTGGCGCCTGCGCCTCTCCTCTCAGAAGCACAGCCGGCTCCCTTTAGATGCTGATGTTCACGGTAGGGGGTTAAGGAAATCAGTGTCCAGAAAAATTCACAGACATCTGAACTTCGAAATCTTAGAGATAATTGAAACTCCTGGGGTTGGATTTCAGTAAGGTATGAATAAAAAAGTAAAAGCAATGTTATGTAAAATGTGTGGGATTATTTTTCCCCTGTATGTCTACTTTCTTCAGAGGATAGTAAGAGGTAAACTCCCTCAGGGACCAGTAACGTGGTTTGCATTTCAGTTTTCTATTCTAGCAAAATATATATTAGCTTAGTGTGCTGGATAAAAGTAATGAGGAGACAAATCGTCACCCAGGGGTTTCCTTATTGATGAGAAATAGTCCTCCTGTGTTCTCCAGGGGTTTTCTAGACTCCATTACATTTAAAATAATGCTGTTTCAAGATTACTATGGCAATAACAAAATTTAAATTTCAAAAAAAGAACCAATATGAGAACCAGCATTAAGCAAAACTAATTTGAGGGGAAAAATGTGAATTCCTGTATTAAAAGTGATATTATGTATGTTCTCTGTGTGTTTAGTTCTTATAAACAGAGTTCCTCTACCATCTTAAGAATATTCTGTTTTTGTTTGTGTAATTCATTTGGCTTATTTTGCTGTTACCGTGTTTCAAGTCTATATGATAAGCTTTTCTGGAAGCACTTAAGTTCGGTGTTCTGCCTATCCACCGAAAGCAATCTAACTAAAATGTGAGATTTGTAAGTATAATTAGCAAAATTTGAGCCCAGGAATTAAAAATTATTTTCTCTCTCCACTCATTTGTTTTGTCAACAACTGATTGCATGACTTCTGGAAGAGGTGTCCTTATCAGTAGCCAAGGTCACAAAGAAAACGAGACACACTCCTTGGGATTTGCATGCTAGTGGTAAATGCAGGCTAGTGAGTGCCCTGTAGTGTACACAGACTATAGTGTAATCAGCGGGAAGTGCACCGTGAAGGTCAGTGGGGTCACCATAAAGAGGGTGATAGACTCCACCATGCATGGGGAGAGCCAGTGAAAGCTGTAGATACGATTGCACTTCAAAGACAAGTGAATATTTTGCAGATGTCTGGGAGTTTCTAATGGATGGGAGTTTGGGCTCAGAGCATTCCTAAAATCCTGCATGAGCAGAGATGTGAAGGGACATGTGAGAGCCACGCCCTGGAAGTGGTTTGGTCAGGCTGCAGCAGGGTGGAGAATTAAGGCTAAAGAGGAGGCAGGAACCTGACGAAGACCTACCTGTTGACCTCGCATTTTGTTTAAAAAGCAGTAAAGAGAGAGGCTGTCTCAGATTTACGTATTAGAACCCTCTGGAAGAACCTCCTCTGGAAGACAGGAGCAGGAGGCGACAGCTAAGAGACAGAGAGGGCAGTTGGGAGGTGGCGGAATCCAGGATATAAGCGTAAGGACAGTGCGTATGGGGAGAGAGACCAGAACGTGGGGTCCCCCCCTCTGTGACCTGCTGGGGGTGAGGGTGGACAAGAGGAATTAGGGCCCCGAGGCTTCTCACTCACTGGCTGGGCTGAAGAGCGTTGGTGCCATTCGCCTGCTTTCCACTTCAGTTTGGTAGGAAGCTTTAAGTGTCCAGAGAGGCTCGTGGTGGCGTCGGCTAAAGGAGCTAATTTCAGAGAGATTGTTTACCTTGTATACCTCTCAAGGCTGAAGACAATTACCTCTCTTGAATTTTCCTTTCTACATTTGGAACATTTATCGTATTTAATGTCTTAGATGTTCTCTGGCCTTGATCTTTGCTCCGATCGAAGACTGTTTGTCTCAGTGCTCCCCGCTTTTTGTTTCCAGGCGGTATGAGGTTCATCCAGTCTGTGCGGACCTGCAGGCCAAGATCCTCCAGTGTTACCGGCAGAACGCCCAGCAGACGCTCAGCTGCTCTGCGCTGGCCAACCAGTACCTGCGCTGCGTCAACCAGGCCAAACAGGTGGGTGTGCGGCCCAACTGCTGCGACGGCCTGGTGAGGCTGTGGTCAGCTTCTATCTGGAGGGTTGTGAGAAGAGCCTGCATTCTCCTGTGTTTAGCTCATTACTCTCAGAAAAAACAATTCTTACTAAAATAATACTTTTCCCAGTTCTGAACTTTTGTCCTCTGTAGTAACCGTGTCTTCAAGGTCATTCATTGCTCCCTATTTCTGGGCCAATACTCAAAGCCAGCAAAGAGGAAAGATGCAAGTTAAGGGGCCAGCAGCTTTGGGTCCAGAAGCAGCAAATGGTCATGCAGAGAGCCTGGTTTAAAAAAACGAAAGACCAAAAATGAACAGAAGACTGAAATAAAAACCTACCATTCAATTTTCTGCCCATTGGTAGAGGCCACTCACTTGGCCAGGAAAGGGAGGCCAGAAGCAGCATTTAGAAAATAGTTTCCTTCACTTTTTTATGCCATGGCCATGTTCTTCTCTGGACCCTTCATTATCAGAATAATATGATGTTCCCAGGACATGTATTTTCTCTCATTTATGTACTTTAGGAAGCTAATGATGAACTCAGAAGCAAGTTATCAATTCTGGCAGGTCATGTAATTGCCTATCATTTAACTGATTTAACAGTTGGATGTAGGTGGTTCTGAAAGACGGCAGTTGTTGGAAACCTTGATTCTTTCTGCTGCTAACCTCCCCAGAGTTGACCTTCTAGCCCAGCTAAATCTGGTGTTTGAGTTACACAGCAGGACTCTGCAGCATGATTTGCTGTAGTTATAATAATACCACTTAGCGTAAATTTCTAACATTCTGATGGCAGGGTTGGTATTGTCTGCTCATGGGAGGGTTGGTATTGTCTGCATAGCTGGACGGTAATGGCAACACTAGTAGAAACAATATGCAGTAGTCCTCCCTATCCATGGCTTCGCTTTCCACAGTTTGTCACCCATGGTCAGCTGCGGTCTGAAAATATTAAATGGAAAATTCCAGAAGTGAACAGTGCTTGAATTTTCAGTGGCTTGCTGCTCCGAGCAGTGCGGTGAAACTTTGGCCATCCCTCTCCATTCCTCCTGGGGTGTGGTCATCCCTTTGTCTAGTGCATTCCCGCTATACATTCAGCACAAGAACATATTTTGAGAGACAGACAGACCGCATTCACATACCTTTTATTACAGTATGTTGCTATAATTGTTCTATTTTATTATTAGTTATTGTTGTTAATATCTAACTGTGCCTAACTTATAAATTACATTTTGTCATAGATACATATATATGCATAGGAAACAACAGTATAGCGTATCTGTGGTCTCAGGCACCCATTGGGGTACCGGAACATACTGCAGATGAGGGAGGACTACTGTAATCAAGATTTGTTAAAAGCCTATGTTGTCTTTAAAGGCCTGATGGCTTGAGGCTTTTTTCCGTTTCTTGCTAATAGTGACACTTGTATAACTCATAATAGTGCACCAGGGATTTTTTCTTTAAAGGTCTTCGGTAGAAATAATGCTGATATTGTTGTTAGTCCATTTTATTTGCAAAAGCAGCTTCTGATATGCTCTTAACAAGCCCGGCATTCAATATTAATACTCACGGAGCACTTGGGACCTGTAAGCCGGGCAGGGGTTTTCTGACTCGCTACTTAGTGCCATGGGGAGGCAGAGGTGGGCAGCCAGGGCAGAGAGCGGCCCGAGGAAGCGGATGCCTCCGCGCCCGTGTCTAACGCAGGTGCCGTTCCCCAGTGTGATTCGTGACGTTACTGAAGTGACAGCTGCAAGGGTGTCTGGGGATCGACTCCCTCCCGTCTGAGTTGTGTAGAATCATCTACACATAGCTCCATGAGATCAACGACTTACATTTCTAGAATAAAACAGAGTTAATATGGGACAAAATCAAATATGCCATGTGGCGCAGTTGAGAGCTCAAATTGGGCAGATCCGAGTTTGTACCCAAGCCGTGTCTCTTGCTAGTTCTCTGATCTTGGGCCTTGATTCTCGTATGTGAATTGAGGTAACGATATCTCCAGTGTTGTCGTGAGGATAACATTTATATAAAGTATTCAATAAATCTTACTTTTTTCTTTTTTCCTCAGTTGTGTATTTCATGCTGAAACCAACTAAATGGATTAAACAAAAGCATCAGATTATTAGCAGTGATTCCAAAAGAGACCCTCCTTTCCCCCCAACCCCATCTGCAATATAATTTAACACTATTTTCAGCAAATATGTTTCCAGTACCTATTATTTTGACTACTCTTACATTCAAGTATTAGGGAGTGTATAAAACCGATATTATTAAGAAGATGTGTGTCCACAAAACATTTTATCCTAAAATAGCCAACACGGAAATGGGCAAGAACCAAGAAACATGAATACCTGTATTTCTTTCAATAGGACTTTAGATTTCAAGGTGATTTCACATCCATTCTCTTACTTTTTTGTTTGTTTACCCTCATCTGAGGGTAGAATGTGCTTTACTGATTTCAGAGAGAGGGGAAGGTGGAGCGGGGTGATGAGAGAGAGAGAGAGAGAGAGAGACATTGTTGTATGAGAGAAACATGGATCAGTTGCCTCCTACACGGGCCCCCACTGGGGATCAAACCCAAAACCTGGGCTTGTGCCCTGACCAGGATTCGAACCTGCAACCTTTCGGTGCATGTGACAACACTCCAACCAACTGGCCTGGGCCTCTTACTTGCTTTTTATGACCACCCGAGATGTAAAGAGAGATAGTTTTATTCTCATCAGTTTACAGCTGAGAGAATTGAAACCCAACAAAGTAAATTTAACAACTAGGCCAAAATATAACTCGCCATAAGAACAAAAAATTTAAAAATAGTGTTTGGTTTTTGATTTGGGTGTGCGAAGGCACATCCATCACCCACTGATACAGAAGTAAGGCAGTAAGGGAAAACATGTACACTAATCATGAATTGAAGGGGACAATCGTGGAGATCAACTTAAGGAGCTGGTCCTAGAGACTGGCGGTAACCGGGGGCAGTGGGGTTACACAGCCCACGAGCGAAGGTGCAGCTCCACACGGCCCCATGTTACGATCTCACCAAAATGGCCACGGGGTGATATCAGTATTTCGTGCATAGTTACTTCTCTTCTAATACCACATGTTCCTTTTCCTCCTTGTGAGGTTAGTCTACTTGGTGTCCCCACTCTCCCGTAGTCAGGAGAGACTTTGGTAGGATATGTGGTCTTGATCCCGACTGCAGTTCCTGACCGGTCAGCAGCCCTTCTTATGTTTCCTTGTTAAATCCAGAGAACGAGCTGGACTCACTAACAGAAAATACTGAACATGACAACGACCCATTAGGCTGCGTTGTCCATTTCCGGCGTAGTGCATGAGTTTTCCCCTTGGAATAATTCCAACAGCCAAACCCACTCCACTTTTAAATGACTCATAAGGTTGGGCTTTCACGGGTTCCCTTGGGGCATGGTTCTGGAGACTAATAGATTTTAATGATAGGAACATTTCCGGATATTCCTTAGCTTGCTTTCCTTCCTGATTCATCCACGTTTTCACATCACTCTTTTTTCGGCTATTCTTGAACAGTTCCTCGTGGGGTGACATGAGACATTTAGACTACTTCCAGTATATTAAATTGTGTGTCTTCACAGGGGTAAAGAGATATTAAATTGCTATAATTATTATTTCTAAGACTTAAAAGCTACTGGCCAGCTAGATGAGATACAACATTTAAAAATGTAGGGGCTATCGATTGATAGACTTCTATGTCTTTTATTTCTCATATCTGCTTAGCCTCATAGCTTTCTAAAAACCCCCAAGATTGACTTACCTGTCCTTACCTTTAAAACCCGATTCCCATTCAATCTTCGTTCACCCACCTTATAGGAGGCTGTGGAAGGGAGAGGAAGGGGGGAGGCCAATAGTAATTGCCCACTAGTGGGCCCAAATGTGCCCAAGTTTTATTTATAAAAACGCAGGGGGTGTAGAAAGGGGTTTGCTCCCAGATCCACATTGCTGTGCTCCCTGGGACATCCCACTGCCCCTAGTTTACTCCCAGAATCCATCTGCTTGGTGGGGGGTAGTGATTCTAAACATCCCAGCTGTTGTCTCAGCCCTGCTGCTCTTGGCAGAAAGGTACAGAGCTGGCTGGACTTCTGGGAACAGTCGGGAGGGTAGGGTTTGTGGGAAGGGCTGTAGCTAACACTAATCTAGTCATGGCGACCTGGCTTCAGTGTCTCCTTTGGGAAGTTCAGGGTTTGAACTAGGTGATGCACGAGGGCCTTCCCGCTCTGTTATTCTAGGACTGATTGTACATCCATGTGTGAGAACAAGAGGCAGTGTGCACAGCACGTGTGTTGGTGAGCACTTTCAAATGAAGAGATACGGCTGTGGGTACAAGCAGCACCTGCTCCGGGGACCTCCAGCACTTCCTCTCCTCTTAGGTCCTGCTGTCCGCCGTAAGCTTTTGCTCCAGATGCACAGCTGCATTTCTGGTTGGTCTGCCTGTTGTCTGGCCTCCCACAGCTTGCTTGGTACCCCTTCCTTGAAACATGTACGCCCGTCAGCTCCGGGGAAGCCAAGGTGACAGAATGGACTTGGGAGGGGGTGAAAACAGTTGCCAAGTTTCTCCAAAGTCACTGACGTGAAAAGTGGCTCTCAGTGCCCCCTGGCAGGGTGTAGGCTGCCGGCTAATGAAGTGCATTAGAAAATGCAAGGGAGTACCTGTAGCCAGCCCCAGGCCCCTCCGGGCTGCAGTGCCTTTCATCCTGTGTGCCATGGGTGATGAGGGACTGTGAAGTCAGAGCAGAAGAGCCAAAGAAAGACCAGGGCGAAAAGCAAGGGCCAGGCCCAGGAGATGCCCAGAGGACAGAAGGCAGGTGGAGCCGGGAGCCAGGTGGTGGAGGCCTCTCAGGAGCCAATAAACCAAGAGGTTGAAACCAGCAAGTGGGCAGGAGCCAAGCAAGCAGCTCGCTGAAGAAGTACCAAAGTGAGCACCTCTTAGAAATGAGGCCTGTCTGCTTTTCGCTGACCAC